TTTTTTTCAGGACCCATCAGCTCCAAGTCAAGTCGTTGTCCTTCAATCTAGTTGTGGAGGGCGCAGCTCACTGGCCAATGTGGGAATCGAACCAGCAACCTTGTCGTTTAGAGCACCCACTCTAACCAACTGAGCCATCCAGCCGCCCCAACATTTCTTTTAAAATAATTTAAAAAAAAGAAAAATATCAGAGGGCATTACATGAAGTAATGGTTAAGCATGTTTCTTGAAACAACACTTCTGTATGAAAGCATATGTATTCTGATTGTGATATAAAAATATTTTATACTATGAGTTGTCTTCAAAAATATCTGAGAGCTGCTGAGGTAGAAAATGAGAAAAACATTCTTATGATTTAATCATATGCTGCTAAAGTGATAAATTCTGTAACTATACCTATACATTTTCTTTTCCTTTTTTGTTAATCTCACTCACAAAAGCCTCAAACCTTACAGTTCTGGCCTACTCCATTCAGTTCTCTGGTGTCAATCAGTGAAGTTGCTAATTGTATAGGAATTTTTCAGCACCAGTTGCTCAAGTACTCTGCCCCCATCAGCACTCCCAGGCCTAGAGTGTTCTCCCTTTAAAAAAAAAAATAAATAAATAAATAAAAACACCCAGGCAGTGGTTCTTCTCTGGGCAAATACTGTTAACTGCCAACTCAATGGAATCTTCCAGCCTAAAACAGAAGTATTCTTACTTCCATTCCCCTGCTATTTCCTCTCTCTTCTGCCAGGACTAATTGCTACTTTTTTTGGAGATGGGATTCCTCTCTCATTTTTCCATTTTCTAAATTACTTTAAATAGAATTGACAATACTTAAAAAAGAATGCATTCTTCCTACAGGGAAAAAGTACAAAAGGAAAAAAAAGGAGACTTCTAAATAGACAATAGAAAGAAAGAGGGCTGAAGACTTATAGAAAGAAAAACAAGAGACTACAGAATAAGAGCTTACAGCAGAATTTAAAGAATCTTGATTAGTGATGTTTAAAACCAGGAGAGGCTTGCAACTCTAAGACAGTGTTTGTTTCCCATACCCCTAAGTATAGGGCAATTGGTACAAATTACTCTCAGTCCAAACTCTGCAGTTAAAAAATAAGGCTGATGAATGAGGTGAGCTTTTTGCCATCTCTGCACACTATCTGCACAGATATTTTTGTGGTGAAAAACCAGCGTGATAAATCAACACACCATTTACAGTTTTTCTTCTTAAAATTACAACTTAATCTTAACTAAAAATTTTTAAATACAGTTGTTCTTAACTTTTGGAACAACCTAAAATTGCTTTAACACATATCCACAAGATTGGCAAATACTTCAAATTCTGAAAATATTAAGTATTGATAAGGATAGAGAACATCAGACACTGCTAATGGGACTATAAATTGGTATACTCACTTTGGAAAACATTTTGGCACTACCTACTACAGTTGAACATGCTACTATCCTACAATCCAGCAATTCCATTCCTAAGTTAATATTAGACTCTTTAGACATTTGAACCAAGAGATATATATATAGGAAGAAGTTCATGGTAGTGGTAACTTTTTTAGAAATAGCAAGAATCTTGTAAATACCTCAATGTCTGAAAACAGAAGAAAAATCAACTGTAGAATATCTATAAAATGGCATACTATAAAGCCATGAATATAAACTCACCAAGTCACATTTTGGATGGATCCCAAATCCACAATATTGAGCAAAAAAAGGAAGTCATAGTAAAATTACTCCATTTATGTAAATTTCAAAATCAAGTAAAATTAAACAATATATTGTTTAGGGATACATGTGGTAAAGATTATAAAGAAAAACAAGCGCGGGCCGGCCGAGTGGCGCGATGGTTAAGAACTCGCTTGGGATGCCAGAGGGCCCCGGTTCGGATCCCACATATGAGAGCCAGTGACACTGCCCTCTACAGCTAAGATGCTGAACAACAGCTCAACCTGGAGCTGGGCTGCCATGAGTCGCCGGCGATGGCGTGGGCTGCAGTCCCTGTGGCAGTGGATTGCCATGGGCTACCGTGTGTGGCCAGCAGCCAGCATGAGCGGCCAGCAGCCGCAGTGAGCGGCCATCCAGAAGCCGGCGACTGATCTGCCTCGCCAGAGAAGAGCGCAATGATGGTGCCAACTTGGGCCAGTGAAGCAACATCCTCCACAACTAGATTGAAGAACAAAAAAACGACAGCAACTTGTCTGTTCCCCTTTCCTCCATTCCCCAGCACTGTTCCCATCCCCCCAATTCCCCAATAAAAATCTTTAAAAAAAAAACCAAGCGCATTGTTAATATAAGGTTCAAAATACTGGTTACCTCTGTGGAGGAGGGGGTAGATATAACCCAGAAGAACATACAGATTTCAAAGGAACTGATAATTATTTTATGAGAACCTTCTCTGCATTAGTGATATACTTCACAATTTTCTTTAAAGAGAACAGTCACAGATGGGATCTTGCATAAAAAGCAAATCATGTAAGAGACAAATTTATGTACGACAGAATACATACACTTTTCTCACACTTAATATGAGACCCTGACCTCTCCACAAACAATTCTAGAATTCAGGAAAAAATTAAATGAAAAACTTAAAATCCACTGGAAAAAAGTCTTCAGGCTACCCTATGTACCTCAACATTTCCCCAAATAATTCCCCCTGTGTTGAAGTTCCCAACTATCTGGTCTCTCTAAATTTGAGGTTAAGCCTTTCGAGTTACACTCAGCAAACAAGTTTAACTTTTCTTTATCCATCATAAGGCATTTTTATATGAGCACTGACACCTGTTCCTGGGCAAAAACAGCAAAATGGATGAGCAATGCACACTCTGGGTAGGATGGTCTGATGTGGAGCACTAGACAGAGTTTCTGAAACGCTTCAATTTAACCTAGGCTACCGATGATGCGTGAAGACACTTCGGAATGAAAGCAATTACAAATATAAAATGATGCATTTTCTCTTTTCCTCAAGCAAATGAAAATCACTAACTACCAAAGGGGCTTCACAAAGCAGATACATGGGATAGATATCGAGGAAAAGTCTCCACTGGGAAATACAGCACTGAACCATAAATGAAGAAATTACAGCCAAATAAGGAGTTTAAAAACATTTTTTGTTTGTTTAACGTTACCTTTTCTTGAATCTAACACTTTCCTCAATTTCCTAATAGGTGGCACCAAGGCAACTACCCTTATTGCCCCAGACTTGTTCCTCAAGTCCCGGGTTCTCGTCCTTCTCCAACAGCGCTACCCACGCCCCACCGTGCCTCTGTTAAGCCATCTCCTCCGCACAACCCCCGGCCAGACTGCCAGAAACGTCAGCGCTCCTTTTCAGTTCCAAACCTCCGGGCTCCCCAGTCTCGGAAAATCATGCCATCTAACCGGGATCGTCCCGGGCGCCGACTTCCACCGCCCGCGGAACCGCGCCCACAGGTATCCTCCGCTTCCCTCGCCGCCGCCCTCTCGACCTTCCCCTGGTCCCGCAGCGCCTGGCGCTCGCCCCCTACCCAGGACCCCCTATTTCCACTGACCCCCACCCTCCCTCACTGCACTTGTGGCCCAGCCTTTCTACCCCGCCTCCGGTCACCGCGGGGCCTCCCGGCCGAGCTCACCGGCCCCCGCCAGCCTAGCCCAACTCCGACCGCTAGGCCCCGACCCAGGCCGGGCGGCCTCTGCCGCCCCTCTCCTCACCGTGCCGTCCCCTGGGCCCTCATCAGCCCGGGCCCCCTCCGCTTCCTCACCGACCGCAGTCTCCAGCCCAGCGTCGGGGTGGCCCAGAGGCTCTAGAGGCGCGGGCTGCAAAAGCCGCTCGAGGTCCGGAGGTGCCTGTTCCATGGCTGCAGTTCGGCGCGGCGAACCCAGTACGCCTGCGCCGCCGCGCTCGGCCCGCCCCACCCCTCCACCCGCGTCCTCCCCTCCAGGCCCCGCCCCTCCGTCCGCGGCCGCAGTGCCCGGCCACCGCCTGGCCTGCCCTCTGCTACGGACACCGCAGGGCTCCCGGGCTAGGGCTGGAGTCGGCGCTAGGAACAGTGTGGAAAGGCCGGCCTGCAAAGAAACTGGTCAGCTACTAAGCCAGGAGACCCAGAAATCCGGGAGAATTGATGGAAAGAGAGAAATCGAGAAAGGCAAGGGGAAGGTGAAGATCAGAGTAGATATTGGAAACATTCAGGTTGGTGATCACCTAAAGAAAATTGGAAACTCAAAAGAAATCGGAGGCCACTGTCTGACATTTTCCCTCTTGTCCTCTATCTTACCTGCCACTATTGGTCCCATTTTTTTTTTTTATCTGGAAAGATCAAAGTGGCATAAATTATTAACTTTCAGAAGGTTGAGTAACACAATCAGCAAAAGGTAACAAACACTTCCAAGTGTTTGAGAGAAGTGAAGCGCTTGGCTGAAGCAGTGCTTGACTTCTATTTTCAGTGTTTCATGAAGCCCTGGAGTTTTTTTTGTTTGTTTGTTTTNTATGTAGAAAATCTGCTCTGAGAATAAAATAGATCCCAATTTGGGGAAACCAGCCTATAGGTTATGGTGTTGCTGCCAGAACAGAATCTCATCCAACTATGTTTGTTTGTTTATGCTGAACGAAATTAGTAGAAGATGATCTAGGTACATCACATATATTCACTGTTTTAAGGGTGCTCGGGATTTGTTCTCATCAGGTATGGTAAGACATGCAGACATGGAAACGACTGTCATGAAGGAAGAAGTCTTTCATACACACAGATCCCTAGAAAAAGGAGGCACAGTGTGCCATGCATGGGGAAAACATGGTCACAAGCCTTTAGTGGGGTTTCTGTGGGAAGAATGGGTGAGGCAGGATAAACAGATTTAGGATTGGTTAGTTTGAATACTCTCAGCAGGCTCTGGGGTGTAGGGGCTGTCCCTATTTGTCTGGTAGCTGGCCCTGGGGTGGTTAGGGAAGGGGAATTGTGGCCCAGAGGGTAAGAGCCCATAAAGGAAGTGGTTGGGAGCAGGGGCTCTGGATCGGTCGGTTTACGTAGGAAATGTGCACATGTAGGCAGTCATTTACTGTCTCTAAAAATTGACTGGCCCTAGGAGGGGCAGTCTCTCTCGGGTCAGCAAGGCGCACGATGTCAAAGCATCAAAACTACAGAATAAAAAGACATGATTAATACATTCACAGATACATAGACTTGCACTAACATATGCACAATCATGTAGTGACATGTATATGTCCTCTTTGTGTCCCCAGTGCCCAGCATATAGTAGGTGTTCAGCACGGGTCTGCTGAATTAACGGATGAGTAGGGGGATGGGTGGGGATACAAAACAAAACAAGCAAACAAATGGCAAACTGCATTTTTACTTACGTATTAAAGGCAGTCAGGTAAGAGACATAAGCTCCTGGCCTCCTGCCCACTCTAGCTCTGACTGTATTAACCAGGCCAAAGGAAAGCCTTTCCCCTCCAGCCTCTGCAGGCATCTCCTCATACATGAATTCTCCCTAAAACGGCAAGGAAATGGGTGGAGAAGAATGGTTACATGGGCAGGATGGCCAGTGCTGCCCCCTTGCATCCCTTCCCCAGTCCCAGGATGGGCCGTCTTTCCCTAGGCACTTCCGGGTAGGCTTGGTCCTGTGAGGATCCTATCTTAGTCCCTATGTGGAAATCAATTCCTGGAGACAAAGGAGGCAGCCAGCCCTTAGGAGAGGCAAACAGCAGACAGCCACCAAGTCCCCAGAGCAGGCCTCTACCAGGGATCACTCGCACCCCTCTCCTGTGTTAGGTAGAAAAAGTGCTGAAGCTGCAGAGGTCTGAGTCAGCTGATTAATTCCAGGAACCACCAACTTCCGCCCTGAGGGGACTAGAAGGAGAGGGCATTTTTTTTTTCCCTCCTGAGTTTGTTTGTTTTTTCTTTATAAATAACCCAAACTGGAGATCATAGGTAAGGCATTATCTCAGAGATCCTCATCCACACCCCTCAATTTTCTGATGAGGACTGAGAAGCCCAGAGAGGCAGAGAAACTTGCCCACAGTCACTGCTAACAACCAGTTAGGAGCAGAGTGGTGGTCAGGACAGAGCTCTAGCCTCAAACTCAGCAGAGGGGCAGAGAGTGCCTGACTCAGCTTTCTCTGGAGGCCAGGCAAGCCGGTGGGGCAGGAATTGCCTTGCCTGGAGGGGTAGAGAAGGAGGAGGTGTCCTCGTGGTCATTATCATCCCTCCCCACCCCCAGCCTCCCTTCTGCTTCCACTTGAAGAGGGGTGAGGTGGCTGGCACTGGCCACAGCAGCCTGCTAAGTGACTATGGAGCAAAGACCCCTGTGCTGCAGGAGTTCCCAGGTGGTGGGGGATCCAAACAAGTGCAATGCGACATGTTCCTGTTATAACAGAGGCACCAGGAGAGTGCGAATGAGGGCCAGGGATGGGGNGTTGCAGGCGACTCACGGCAGCCCAGCTTCAGGTCGAGCTGTTGTTCAACATCTTAGCTGTAGAGGGCAGTGTCACTGGCCCTCATATGTGGGATCCGAACCGGGGCCTCTGGTGTCCCAAGCCAGTTCTTAACCATTGCGCCACTCGGCCGGCCCGCCCTGGAGTTTTGATAATTTTCTACAAATAATCTCGAATGTGCGGAGCCTGCTTCCTTGACAAGCATTCACTATGGTAACTTGATGGGCTCACTGGGTGTGGCAGACTGTGAGTACCTTCTACAAAAGTCTGGTCATTAGCTTTTCAAAAAGAGAACTGATCTTTCTGCCCAAATATTGGGTTGTCGGAAAAGTCATGACGTATTTTTTCTATGTTTTTCGTCGCAAAAATGCGTCATGACTTTTCCGACAACCCAATACTTAGCTGTTTCAAGCTGTGACATACAATTTCCTCCTCCTGGAATGCCTGGTGGTGAATTTCCCATTCACCCTAAAACCTTAAGTTATCACATCTAAGTGCTAATATCACATTGTCCATAAATTGGTTATGACCTTTCTTATATTATTTTACAATTATTTATTTATATGTCTGTCTGCCTCAACTAGACTTTGGACTCATGTAAGACAAGGACCCTACATTATTATTTTTTTCTCTTACCAAACCTGGGACATTTACTCAATAAATATTTAAAGGCATTTTATCAGTTTATCAGGGATTATTCATGCTAAGCAAATTCTCAGGAAACATTTTTAAGTCAGAAGGCTACTTTATTAATTTATCACAGGAGGGGTAGATAGCTTTCCAGGGACAGATTTGAATGCATTACCCTGTCCCCTTTTCCCAGAAAACTAGGTCCTAGAGCCATTAGGATTATTTCTCTGGGCTGGTGACTTGAGTATGCAAGGCGGGTAGGAACATGAAAAAGGGATCTGGGCTTTACAGAACAGCCACATGAGGGGAGGCCACAGTGCTATCTGCTGTTTCTAAAAACAGAGAGAAAAAGAAAAAGAAAAAAAAACTAAAACAGCTCTTCCCATAAGCGGCCTAAAGTGACCTCTGAAAAATGGTTCCTATTCACCTGACCCAGAAAACCCCACAAAATCATGCAGAGCAATAGGTTCGACTCTTCGTGTTCATTTTAAGAACACTTGTGAAAATGCCCAGGCCAGCAAGGGTAAAAACATCTGAAAGGCACCAAGTTTCTGAAGGATGTCACGTTACAAAAGCGATGTGTGCCATTCCGGCGTTTCAATGGTGGAGTTGTTAGGTGTGCCCAGGCCAAACAGTGGGGCTGGACGTAGGGTCGGTGGCCCAAAAAGAGTGCAGAATTTTTGCTGCAAATGCTTAAAAATGCAGAGAGGAATGCTGAATTTAAGGATTTAGATATAGACTCTCTGGTCACTGAGCACATCCAGGTAAACAAAGCTCCCAAGATGTGGCGCAGAATTTACAGAGCTCACGGGCAGATTAACCCATACATGAACTCTCCCTGACAGTTTTCTAACTGAAAAAAAGTGGATTTTTCCTAAACCAGAAGAGGAGGTTGCACAGAAGAAAAAGATATCCCAGAAGAAACTTAAGAAACAAAACTTACGTAAATGTTTACATAAGTAAATTCAGCATCAAATAAATACTAATAAAAGTTAAAAAAAAAATTAAAACCGAGTAGGGGCACTGTTTCCCCTTCATTTATACCTCTTTATTGTGAAAACAAACAAAAAAAATCAACTGCCTTTGATATCCATTGTAAGTTTTTCAGCTGAATATAATTTTTTCCCTATATTTTCTTAAGAGATGGCCTTGAAGAAACCAAATTTGAAAAATAAAAAGGGTGTGTGAAGAGTCTAAAGTCAGGGATCACATGATAATTTTCTCCTATTTTATATACAGATAATATGTGTTTATTGTGGGAAAATTAGAAATAGTTATGCATAAAAAGCTCTCCATACTCCCATACCCAAAGATAAGCACTGTTAACATTAAACATATAACCCTCTATCATACATATATATAATATAAATGGAATCACATGATGCTATTTTATCATTTATAACAAGAGCACCTCTATATATTTCAATATATTTCTACAGAATCTTCTTCAAGCCTACAAAGAGTTCTACTGTAAAAAATTGCTATGATTTATTTAATCTTATAATCCTCTATAGTTATAATTTAATTCTAAGCTTTACTTTTATAAACAACACTGCAATGACATCCTTCTACATAACATCTTTGTGTACCCAATCAATTTTTTCCTTAGGCTAAATAAGAATTGGAAGAGTTTAAGAAAAATTTCATGTGAGCTCTGATAGTACTTGAGGTCTATTTCAAAATAATATAATTTTCAAAAATTGATATTCGTATCCACTAGATAATGTGTCTTACCCTTGGGGCTGCCTACAAGCTAACAAATTCTTTTTGATAAGAGATAATAATAACTAGTATTTATGTAAAAAACCTGGGCTGG